CGTCAAGAAACCTTTGATATGATTCTAGAAAAATTTAAATGACACGACGGCAACAAAAATAGAAGTCCTGGAAACCAAATATGGGGTAATTTCTTGTTTTTTTATTAACAAACATTGTAGGCAAACGCCTGCACACTGACTAAATTGCACAAAAACATTAGCAACATTTCTGTATTTGTAATTCAAGGTGTCCTTTTGTAGTGTCACAACTCGAGGGGAATACAAAAACACGACAGTTAAGTGCCCAGATGGTAAAATTGAATAATTCAGATAAAATTACAAATTTCCCCATAAAAACTTCAGAATCTGAACGTTCGTACTGGGATAATTTTGTTCTTGAACATCCTGACAACATCAGTTAAAACTGTTAACACAAAAATACTTGTTTTTAAACAATTCTTTATAACCCAACAGGACTCTTTATTAGTTCAGCTTTTATGGTACATTAGTAAAAAGTTCAACTGTTTGCAGATGATGTGATTGCATACATCTCTGTTGGGTTAGTTGTGCTGGACTTTTTGTAGCGAGAACAAACACTGTGTGACTCAGGCGGGAGGTTGGAAACTCATTTTTGGGGAGGGCGTCAAATTGTTCGTGGAGGACAGTAAGTTCAATCATTATTATGACTTATATTTTTACATTTTATTGAATCTACAAAAATTTGTTCTTAACAAGGATCGCCAGAATTTCAAACTTTGATATCATTCTATTTTAAAATGAAATGACACTACAACAACAAAAATAGAAGTCCTAGAAATCCAATATGGGATAATTTCTTGTTATTTATGACCAAACATTGCAGGCAAACTCCTGCACACTGACTCAATTGCACAAAAACATTAGCAACATTTCCCTTTCTAGTAATTCAAGGTGTCTTTTTGTAGTGACACAATTTAAGATTAATCAAAATACGTGATAGCTACGTGCCCAGATGGAAAAATTTTGAATAATTTAGATAAAATTGCACATTTTCCCATAAAAACTTCAGAATCTAAATATTTTTACTGGGACAGTTTTGTTCGCGAACATCTTGAAAACATCCGTTAAAGCTGTTTAAACATAATTATTCATAGCCCAACAGAACCCTTTATTAATTCAGTTATCATGGTACGTTAGTATAAAGTTAGACTGTTTGCAGATGATGTGATTGCATTGGTCTCTGTTGGGTTCATTGTGCTGGACTTTTTGTAGTGAGAACAAACACTGTGTGACTCAGACGGGAAGCTGGAAACTTATTTTTGGGGAGGGCGTCAAATTGTTCATGGAGGACAGTAAGTTCAATCATTATTAGAATTGTTTTTTGTTTTTTTACATTTTTATTAAATCCACTAACAACATTTGTCAATAACAAGGGTCCCATGATACCAGAATTTCAAACTTTGATATGATTCTATTCAAATGAAATGATATCAATACTTCTTGGTAGCAAAAATAGAAGAAATTTCCTGTTTTTTTATAACCAAACATTGGAGGCAAATTCCTGCACAACTTAATTGCCCAAGAACATTAGCAACAGTACCATTATCATAAGTCAAGATGTCCTTTTGTAGTGACACAACTGGAGGTGAATCCAAAAACACGACTGTTATGTGCCCAGATGGTAATATTCTGATTACATTCGTCTCTGTTGGGTTCCTTGTGCTGGACTTTTTGTAGCGAGAACAAACACTGTGTGACTGGGACGGCAAATCTGAAATTTATTTTTGAGGAGGGCGTCAAATTTTTCATGGAGGACAGTAAGTTCAAAAATCCGACAATTTTGTTTTTAAACTTAATTCTTTATAACCCAACAGGACCCTTTATTAGTTCAGTTATCATGGTACGTTAGTAAAAAGTTAGACTGTTTGCAGATGATGTGATTGCATTGGTCTCGTTGTGCTGAACTTTTTGTAGCGAGAACAAACACTGTGTGACTCAGTCGGGATATGGGAAACTCATTTTTGGTGAGGGCGTCAAATTGTTCGTGGAGGACAGTAAGTTCAATCATTATTATGGCATATTTTTACATTTTATTGAATCTACAAACAACATTTGTCCATAACGAGGGTTGTCATGATACCAGAATTTCAAACTTTGATATGATTCTAGAAAAAAATGAAATGACACTACAACAACAAAAATAAAGTCCTAGAAACCCAAAGTGGGGTAATTTCTTGATTTTTATGACCAAACATTGTTGGCAAACTCCTGCACGCTGACTTAATTGCACAAAAACATTGGCAACATTTCCATACTCGTAGTTAACGGTGTCCTTTTGTAGTGACACAACTCGAGGGGAGTACAAAAACACGACAGTTATGTGCCAAAAAAAGAAAATGTCTCTTAAAAAGTTAAAAATCTAAACATTTTAACTGGGAAAGCTTTGTTTTCAGCTTATTCTTCTTCTTAAGTTGTATTATAAATATATTAAACCGTTTAAAGTCTTGTTAAATGTTGGGTAAGTTTAATTTCACAAAAAAATTTCAAATGTTTTTCTGCATTTCTTGAAAGAATTATTCTTCCCATTCACCCATCTGATGAAATGTAAAAATTATATCTGAGAAATTAATAATTCAGACTATATACTTATACGTATATACTTCAAAGGGTGATCTATTTACAGGAATATTAAAGTAAATCTGAGTTTAACACATTGAACCTCAGTTAAAACTGTTTTTACTAAAAGCTTTATTACTGAAACATTTATTTGATTCTATGTATTTGTGCAGAAATAGTGGACTCGTGGTCGAATATTCCCCCTAGGCTCAAAAACTGGCGATAGAATGATGTGTGTTGGTGCTTAAATCATCGAGGGGATCTCAGGGTTTCTGTCGTTGGTCTTTGAGCTGTGTGAACGGCATCGGGAATAAGATCTTCTTTGGATTGGGCTCAAAGCTCCTAGTTGAATTGAGTGAGTAACATTTGAAAATAAATGATTTCTGATTCATTATAAATTTAGATTAAGTATTAATCATATAGTTCGACACTGGTAGCTTGTATATCAAACTGTACACCTTTAAATAAAAACATTACACTTTTAGGATCTGTTACAAAAAGACTTAGACTCAGTGTAAGACATTACAAAGATCAAAATAAAAGCATAATAGCAAGTTCTCAAATGCTCAAAAATGAAATTTCAAACATGCGATTAAAAATGTGATTAAATCGCGATTAACTTAAAATTCAGCGAATTATCACGATTCATAAAACATAATTTTAATGCTCTAACTTGCCAGGTTGTTCATATAAATGATTTGTGTTTCTGGCTCCAAACGTCGTCGTTTAATCCAGTAAAATAATCTCTGAAAATAAGTGAGTCAGTATCTGAACTCCCTGAGTCATGGAGCCACTCGTAAACAGAAGATGAATCTTTACTTCGGATAAAGAACATTTTTATAATATTTATCTTCTGAAATATGACGTGGGAAACTTCGATTTGTGTACATAAAGACGAGGTAGTTGGAGTGTTTGAAACCTTGTGGTTTTCGTCGTTGGGTTGTCTATAGTGTGTCTTCAAACACCAAACTCATCTTTGGTTCTGGTTCCAGACTCTTCGTTGAACCAGGTGAGATATGTTCTTAATTTGACGGTTAAAATGAAACGATTCAATTCAGCTTTTTAACCCGGATCTAACCTTTCTGAAATGCCTTTGAACAAACAAACATGGGGTTATCAAGGTTCACGATTTGTAAACGTCCATGTGATTCTAGTTTAAATAAATGTTGTTTGTTACCATGGCAACTCAATTAGAAGTCCCAGACACCTGAAATTGGATAATTTTTAATCATCAGACATTCTGTAGTTTTGGAAGCATTGCAGATATTTTGGTGCAGTTTAGTCCGTGTGCAGGAGTTGACCTTTTCCTCTCCTCTCATAACGGACGTGTTTTTTTTATTTGACCGATCTTTAAAATCACATATTCTCATTTTTAAACGTGAGGTATCCAAGTGTTGAACAATTAGACGAGCTTAAAACAAATGTTCTTTCATTCCTCAGATAATCAGTACAACATTTTTAATTTTAAGTTTAATTTTCATTAAACTGGTTCTATTGGGAAGCCTGTGGCCTAGTGGTTAGTGCTTATGCTTCATGGAGGCTGTAGTCCTCCAAAGGGCGGCTCGTGATCAAAAGGTAAATGGACTTGAGCTTTTAGAGTTCTTTTCTAGTCTTCTGACTACACAAAGTCACAAAGTGCAGTTCAATCAAATAAGCGATTTTAAAGATAAAGAGATCACCATTTAAATTAAGATGTTAAAATGTTAATCAAACACGTTTAAAAAGGAGTAAAAAGAGTCTGTGTTCACGAAACAGTCTGTCGGGATGTTAGCGTTCTGCGTAGCGACACTGTGTGACTGATTCAACAGGAGGAAGGAGGCTGATCTTTGGGAAAGGGACCGAATTAACAATAAACAGGAGTGAGTATCAACACCCAAACACACGGACAACTAAAAAGTGACGGATACAAAGATCACATTGTCTTAATACATTTCTCTGAGGCTCCTAAAACTATTTTAATCTGAAACTCGGAACAAGTCAACTTTTTATTTACCTTCCCGAGATAAGTTTCTCTTCGCTCTTTAAAATCTTTTAAACAGAAGTTAGATTGAGAGTTAGGCTCATTTACATCAACATAGAATTTAACTCACGTAGGGAAATCTAACGAGAATAAATTTATTTATTTAAAGATCTCTGATGTCAAATAAATAAAAATTTTGACACTTTGTGAGAGTTCAGAGTTATTGACCAACTACCATAGTTCATCACGGACAGTGAACGGCTTGAAGAGTTCAAAAAGCTCAACTTGATTAACTTTATTAGACCGGCCATTTTGGCACGTGTCATTCATCAGGGTCACGATGTGTACAAATGTTGCTTGAGCTTTTTGACCTGATCACAGTTATCGATCAGCCTCTGTGAACTGTGTGACGACGAGTGGTTACCAAAAGCTCCAGTTCGGATCAGGAATTAAACTCATCATCCAAGATGGTGAGTCCAAATGTGTCTTAACTCATAATAATTAAAAAAGAAAAACAGCCCTCTGATGAAGAAATACAAACGCTGGATGAATCTGCTTCTGAATATCATGAAACTTTAAACCCTCGTAGGACGTTTAGTATTTCTAACAGTACATGAAATAAAGCAAAAGGTGATGTAAGTGTGTTTAAAAAGCTCAGTAACACTTCCTAATGTACATAGAAACCTTGTTTTTATTTATTCTCCAAGTTATTTTGACAGTTTTTATTAATTAAAATAGTGAAGTATATAACGACGTCATCTGCATACAGTGTAATTTTAATGCTGATAATTCAACCCTTTGATATTTATACATAAGTATTTTGTAATATTCAGTTGCTGTTTGACGTGATGTCCCAGTGAGATTTTCCATCCAAACACTGAAGTGAAATATTGCATTTAGACCCTTTGATGTATTTCAAAAGTGTAGTAACAGGATTCTTTTAGAGTTGGAAATCGGGCAGACAGAGTGGGGTATGACATTGCGATAAAGGAGCCACAAGCTGGACTTGAACCCGCGTTAGGAGGTTTGTAGCCTCTGTCTATATGGGCCACGACCTAACCACCAGGCCATCTTTGCCCGACTCAGTTTGTAAGGACGGCGGAGAGAAGCTTTGTACGCCTCATTTGGTCTGACAATTGTCAAAATCAACCGTTTACCTTGTAACGACTTCATTTCAATTTCAGTTTAATTTGACTAAAACAAACACATTAAAATGGATTAAAAACTCACTCGTGGTCTGTTCAGCAGTGTTTTTTGCACTGAAGTGAGACACGGTGTGAATTACGCAGGCGACAAACTGATGTTTGGATCCGGCACGAGGCTGACAGTTCAAACCCGTAAGTCACTTGAAGAAGCTTAAAATCCATTTTAAACATTTTTAAACTCCAATTTGAAAGATATCTCTGCAGAGTGTTTTCATCAGGGCTTTAATGTTTGCACATTTCTGTTTGTCAGCGTTCGTTTTGTTCTCTTCAGCCAAAGAGAGATCAACACCTAACCACGCTGTTTCGTGAGTTGATTGTTCTGAAGTTACGAGTCAACTTTCACACATTGTCATATTTTAAATTTCTGATGAACTCATAAGAAGTTCTGGCATGTGAGCATTATGATTTAATCGCGATTAAAGCATATTGGTTAACTAAAGTTAATTTAAATGGTTAACTAAAGTTAATTTAAGCGTTTTAAATCCGTTTTCACAATGTGGAGAAGTTGTTAGTGGCGTGTTGATTTGGGAATCAAATGAATGGAAAGAAAAGTTGTCTATAATCGTGACATACTTAAACTTAGTTTGACAAACGTTTGACTTGAAGGTCCAAACTGCTCAACCAATTAGGTCTTGGTCTCGTCTCTGAATCAAGATCATTTTTACTTGTCATACTGGGCCGACTCCGTATTTTAAATCAAGACCACCACTGAGAGGCTATTTTTCCACGTCATTACTGTGATAAGAAGGAAAACGCCTCTTTTTAAAAGAACAAATAACTTAAATTCATTTGCAGTTTGATTTTTATCTCCCGGTTACGGCCACAACCTTCCCGGTAACCTTCAGTAGCGACCACTTTAGAGACTCCATGAATCAGCCAACGATAAAAACGTGTCCAGGCTGAACTATAACCTGACCAAAATATTCAATCTTTTATTTTCCGACCTTAATTCTGAAAAACATGTTAACGCTGACGGCCCTGATTATACGTCATAGTCTGGAAACTCCTCCCCTTTTGGATGTAAAGACTGTCCATATTTGGGTGGGAAGTGTTTAATTTGATAATCACTGTGAGGACACAAAGAAGTCTCAGTGTTTTATATGCTGATGATGATGAAATATTCTTTGGAGTTCAAAAAAATTTGAGGTTCTCGGTGTGAAAACTTTCACGGTGTGAATGACGCTGCAAGAAAACTCTTCTTTGGGACAGGATCCAAACTCTACGTACGATCAAGTAAGACAGAATCAGACGTGTGATTTGTTTTTAAGTGATAAGAGAGTAGAGTGACCTTTCAGCGGTAACTCTCAAAAAAATAAACGACAGTATTTATTTCTTATAAGACGGATGAATCATCAGAATCAAACAGGACAAAACTCAAATAGGTCAGCAGCAAGAAATACAATCAAACAAATAAAACACAGACCTTTCAAAGGTTTGTTCAAACTGTGAGGACATGTTGCTCTGAGTTTTGTGATCAAACATTCGGTCTAGATTTTAAAAGCAGCACTCTGACGCTTCAGGTGTGTGTGTGTTTCCTGACGTGTGTTAATCACAGTGTGTGTCTGTGAGTAACGTCGTCTGTGGATGTTTGTCTGACGTCCTCTCTTCAGTCATTAGCCGTGTCAAACAGACAACCTGGACACGGGGTCATCTGGCCGCCGAGCATCACACGTGTGTTAATCGGGGTTTCTTTCTGTGTTTTTCAGGGGAGAAGCACGAGCCGTCTTACCACAAACTGCAGGGAAACGACTCGGCGGCGTGCCTCGCCACCGGATTCACCCAAATCAACGAAGTGAACGAGACGCTTTTCAAAGGCACGGAGGCCGTCAGGATATCCGACGGGTCTGTGTACACCCAGGTTGCTGTCCTAACAACTGAAGACAAAAAACAAAAATGTGATGAATGTAAGTGTGAATCAGATAAAACTGTTACCATGACGACGACGCTCCTCCTGTCACCATTTCTATCTAACTGATTCATTAAAGACGGTTAATAAGTCTTTGTGTCTGATTCTTTCAGTGGCGGCCAGCTCTGGTGACTGTGGAGATCCTTTGAATCGAGGTTTGTGTGAAACTCTCGTCTTTAAATCATATGTTTGATTATTCAATGATTCGTCTCCTATTTGTGACCACGCTGCTGGTTTTGTTTTTGTACAGACCCGATGGTCAACCTGATGTCTCTGACCGTCGTTGGCCTCAGGCTGATCTTCATCAAGACCATCATCTTCAACGTCCTGATGACCTTCAAACTGTGGATGAGTCAGTGTGAGTACAGAACACACACACACACACACACACACACACACACACACACACACTGTCCACATATAAATACACCCATAGGGACACGTGTCCACCTGCCGTATTTTTCTGAGCAGCAAAATTATTTTTTAGTTGTTTTCAATGAGTCCTTGTAGAGTGGATGTGGATAGAGTGTTTATCCAGCTCTGCATGGGTCTGTAAACCTTTCTGTGTTCTAACCTCTCTCCATTTTTCAAAAGCATCTCCAATATTGATCCTAGTTTGAGCACGTTTCTGCTCGTGGAGCTTATTAGAAAGATGCAGAGGCTTTTTAGGTCAGGTACAATCACTTCTATCTGAACCACTTCTCTTGCCCGCTTCCATCGCTGTAACGCCTGTTGATTTGACCTGATAACTGCTCTCATATCTGGCAAACCGAGGGACGTCCAAAACGGCCGTGTGGGGGGGTGTCTTAAAAGCGCCTACCTTCTCTGGTCCAAACAAATCCAGAGCATTCAGGAGCAGAATCTAAAGTTAGAAGGAGGACATACTGGCTGCTGCATTGTTGTTAGAGAAGCCAACACTTCAACATAGCATGTTTCCTTAATGATCAGAGAGTAAGATACCTTTATCATCTCACTCTCTACACATCTCACTGATTGGTCCTTTAACTAAAGGAATCTGGCGTCAGTTGATGACTTTCTAGAAGTCTGTTCAAAGTCACATCAATAAAATCTCTTTTTGATGTTTTTTCTTACAGAAACTTTGCAGACGGCCGACAGAGAAAAGCTCGAGTGCGAGCTGCTGGATTCAGAGAAAGACTCCGAACCTTCGGCTTCATGTCGTCTTTTATTTGTATGATGTGTAATTAATTGTATAAATATCAAATTACCTGATACTCTGTTTATATAATCTTACGTTCAAAGCCTTCTAATGTCGTCTCTGTGATGTTTGAAAACTAGATTTGTTGCTTCTGATGAATTTTTGATCTCTCTGTTAATATCACATTTGAATGATTGTCTGCCTTAGTAAAAAATAACTCAAGAAATGTTTTTAAAACTGCTCTCTGTGTGATGATGTGAAATAAAGTCTGAAATAATAAAACACTGAATGTGTCGTGTTTGTATGTTTAAGAGCTTTATAGCTTTATTGTTCTCAGACATCAACGCAGGCTGTTCAATCAGGTCAACTGAATTGAATCCATTGTAGTTTACACGTAGCGTTAATGACTTATGGACCCAGCCTCCTACTGCTGCTGCTACCACATCCCATCAGTGGCCCCACCAGGACCCCCGGGCCCCATGAACAGATCTCACATTGGGCCCCCCTACCACAGCTCAGACTAACTAACCCTAACCCTAGAAAATGTATATAACCACACCTCCATCACACAAATGACCCAATAAAACTTTAAATATATACACTTTGTTTTACAGCCTGAACATGGGGGAAAGATAATCACTGTCATATTTCATCATCAACATCTGATACTGCAATCTTATTTATTTCATCGGAGACACCTGACGTTTTACACATCATTAGCTCAACACATGCAACGAGTTCTTAAAGCCAAGTGTCCACTTTAAAGTCCATCTAATACGTTAAAATATGGAGATGAAATAAGAACTCTATTGCAGTTTAAAATAATAAAACTAATTCATCCAATTTCAAAAGCACTTCAGTCAGGAATACTCTCGTCACAGATTGAACCATTTATAGCACTGATGGCTGGTTCTGCTCTTAGCTCTCAGCAGGATCAGTGCAGCATGCCACAGATCTTTCTGAGAGTGCAAACCTTTTATTCCCCCCCATGGGGACATGCAGAACAGATCCTGCATGTAAGGATATGGACATCTTGCAGACAGAACAAGCAAACAATTCCTCCTGGAATATAAAATGTGCTGAGTGAAGCTGGTGAAGGTCGAGTGGTGGAGGGAGAAGTTCACAGCAGAGTGGATGTGATGCAGGAGGAGTGAGAGGCAGAATGGTTTAAACAGACCGCCATGTTGTCAGAGTGTGATTGGTTGGCGTTGGGGAAGATCCAAGAATCTAGAGACCTCAGTGAATCTGTTGATATAGAAGATGTTATCGTAGCTCACTTCGAAAGACGCTACATTTCACTCCACAGTGGACTCTTTTTCCACGATTAAATATTTATAAAATAGTGTCGTATGAAATCGTACTAATAAAGGGGATAAATAAGACACATTTATATCCTCTAATGGCTCGTTTAGTCTTAAGTCGTTCTCAAACTGTGTCAGGTGAGCTCACCTTTCTGTTCAGAGCTCTCCTCACTCGCTCCAGGTTTGGAGGCAGGACTGAATCATTTAATGTAAACATGAATCCATCGTGAGCACAGCACTGAGCAACATGTCGAGTAAACATCCTCAAAGCCCGGCGTGCACTGAACCATTTCAGTCGGAATCGTATGACTGATTCTGAAGTCGGCCTGATTTCCCCCCTGATCACGGCCAATCAGCTGCTCCCAAACGGCTGGCTGTGCCCGGGAAAACGGCAGGTGGACACGGCCTAACTCCTTCTATTCTGACACCCAACAACACAACAAGACGACATTTTAACACTCCTCTGTGTGGCCTTCTTCCCTGGGGTGGAGATTTGTGTTTCCCTCTAGCTTAGCTTCATTTAGCCTCCAGCTCACACTGTGACGTCGGCCTTAAAAGGGTCATTACCAGTGGTACTCCACCTTGTTAGACTTAAGAGCCACATTGACCCAAAAATATTTCTGCAAGAGCCACAATCAAAAAACCTCTTTCTTTCCTAAAATATATGGTAAACACAGTGACTTGCAAAGAATAGTTTCTGCTGACAATATTTCCCTTTTTTAAATAATTACTTTGGATTTTTTTTTCCAAGTAGGACCTAAAAGAGCCACATGTGGCCTGAAGAGCCTCAGGTTGAGTATCACTGGTCTATACCTTCTTCTGTAAAATTCTTCAAATGGAGCATAATAACTGATTATCTCATTCTGACACCTAAGAGCAACAGAATCATAAAGAGGACGAAGACTGAACGGAAACTACACCCACAAAGGGAAACTCACAGCTGTGTGTGTGTGTGTGTGTGTGTGTGTGTGTGTGTGTGTGTAGTCCTGCCCACTTCCACTCCACCTGGTTTCCACTGACACACTCTCAGTGTCCTCGTTCTTCTTTTTAATATGTTTGATTTTTCGTTTGATTCTTTTCATGTTTTGTATGTTTTTAAAATTTTTCTAACAAAGAATCCTAACAGGCAGAAAACAGAAAGAAGTTCTCAGAATTATCAGCACATCAAGAAAATAAATATAAACAGAAATAAAAAACCCTCAAAGACACTAAGCAGCGAGGATAAATGATTGGACGCCGTTTAGGGGATTTCACCTTCACACAAAACAAACAGTAGAGTCCGTTTATTCCTCTGATACTGAAACACAGAACGAATGAATGATGTCCTCTTCTATTGAAATGAGCACAGGCTGATTCTAAGTCAGGGAGAACACAGGGAGGAAGACCTGACGATGCAGACGAGCTGAAGGCCGCTATCAAAGCATAACCTCACACCTTATTGATACAGCCGGTTTCTACACAAACACACAGACACATGTAGAAAGGACAACACAGATTTAAAGACAGCATCTTGAGTCAAAGTTCAATACTGATATGTCTGTAACATTTATCTCCAATATGCAGATATAAGTCTGTTTATTCAATTAAAGTTGGTATAGTGTATATCTATCCACCGATCTATTCATCCATAAAGGCTAAAGATAGATCTAAGGAAGATTTCGGCTGATATATCGATATCGGCCCCAAAAATTCCATATCGGTCGGGCCCTACTTCGCAGTAACAGCCTGTCCTAACAGCACGCGACACGAGCGAGCGTCAGTGACGAAATCATCCTGAATCTATTGCTTTCTATTGGAGTTTCCTCACTGCCTGCGAGCGATGCAGCGCGAAGCCGAGTGGCTTTTTTCCCCGATGCCCCATTTTTATTTTCCTCTCTGTCGCTCGCGTAGACGGACGAATGAACGCTATACACGGCACTGACGCTCGCTTTTCTCACCCAACAGAGCTCGTTAGCTTGTACAGAGGGGAGGTAACGGTGCATGAATGGTATCCACATACAGTATGTGACTGAAATGTTGACCTTTGACCTGTGTCAACAAACTTCTTTTGCCTCACAGCAAGACTCTTGAGTGTTGTGATCTGAGTCGACAGAATCGAATGATTCTGATTAGATGTCATATTGTTTTTAATGAGAAACTGAAATTCACAGAGCAGAGAGTTACATATTTAACGGACACAGTGCGAACATGCATGTACGTGCTGTCAGGACACAGGAAGTGAAACGTGATCGAGCAGCCAGCTTCAGGATTTGACTCCTCTAACAGAAAAAGCTGTTTGAGCAAAATGAAACTTTATTAGCTGCTCTACTGCCGCCGTGAAGTCTCTGCGTGTCTCTGCGGGCCTTTCTGCAAAACATATATCTGACGAAGGAAACGACCTCATGCAGGCGGGCCGACACGTCTGAGATCAAAGGGGGCGCAGCAGATACAGTGACCGACTACAGCTTATGAAAAACAGCTTAGGGGTCCCTCATGTGGTCCCTCGTGGTCCCTCATGTAGTCCCTCATGTGTCCCTCGTAGTCCCTCATGTGGTCCCTCATGTGGTCCCTCATGTAGTCCCTCATGGTGGTCCCTCATGTTGTCCCTC